AGCGATTTCTATCATTTGATTTACACTGGTGGGCATAAGTAATACACTTCTTGGAGTAATACACTTCTTGCCTTTGGGTCACTTTCTGTGGAAAATTTACAAAAGATTTTTTTTCCAGTAAATAAGTTGCATTTTGCACAAAACGCGTTTGTGCAAATGCAAGGTGGATTTTTTTTGTTTTGTTTTAGGTTTTGCACAAGTCTTTTTGTTCTCATGCAGAAGTATAAAGGCTTCTGGTGTTTTTAATGAGGCATCTCAATGTGTCATGACACCCCTTTTCACAGATGATGAGATAAATTGTAAATATTCATTACACATTTATTCAGGCGTGATGCCACATACTATATGCAGCACCAAATGCACTTGTTATTATATGCACCTCCTCACATCAATGACATTATATTTACACATGATCAAAAGAAATGTAAGACTTTCAGACTTCTGCTAATGGCCAGAATCCTATTGCCAATTTAAGCCTAAGGGAAATCACATGAGTCTTGGTGACAAAATGCTACTCATTAACAAGATGCTGGTTCCACTTCTCTGAATGAATGCTCAATTGTGCAACCACGTACATACCCAAGAACACAAACAGTGTGGCTATATGCTGATTGGTTGGTGTGCTTGGAATATGCTAAAAAGTGGCAGTTAGACAGAAGAAGGGAGTTAGTGAGAGTTAGTCAAGGAGTCTGTCTTAAAAAGAGAAAAGAGTTTTTAGACAAAGGTATGTGGAGTCTGCAGAATTAGTTAATTTTGAGTTTTGGGTATAGGAGAGTAGTTTATGGGCAAGTGTGTTAAGTTCTTCTTGAGTTCTGTAGGTCACTACAGCATTTCAATACAAACCATTTTACAGTAGCCAAAATCACATATACAGTGGTGCCTCGCAATACGATGTTAATTCATTCCGCGAAAAACGATATCTTGCAAAAACATCGTCTTGCGAAACGCGGTTCCCCATTGGAATGCACTGAAATCTATTTAATGCATTCCAATGGAAAAATCGTTGTCTTGCGAAAATCATCCATAGAAAACATTGTCTTGTGGAATGTGGTTCCCCATTGGAATGCATTGAAATCTATTTCTATAGCTTCCATTCCTGTGATTTCTATTTCTGAAAATAACCCTGCTTATTTTACTTGTCTATTTCTTTTTACTTGATAGAGCTGAGTTTATAAATAGCTTTTTTAGAAACCCATTTACAATGGTGTTATTTCAGGTATCATCCTACATTTATGTATGATTATCCCTCCCTTGGGGAACAGTTGATTGTTTAAGGGAAGTTTTCAGAGAGTGGGCTTACAGTCCTGGAGAAAACTGTGAGTGAAATTCAACTTCTTACAGAACAAACCACATTGGTGTGGAGGGAGATGCATTCCACTATATCTAAAACCACCAATCACTGCCGAATTCTGATCCAGAGGGTGGGGAGGTTTCTGGACAAACCATGGAGGCACCAGGGGCTACTCTAGGCAGGAGAAGAATTCCCCTCTCCAGTGAAAGTCTGCATATACAACATTCAGTGGAATTCACTTACAAATATACAGCCTTTTGATATGTCAGTTTTTGTTATGGCAAGCTTCCAGAACATTTTATCCAGCACATCAAGCTTGCTTGATTTGTTTGGACTTATCCAGTTCAGCTTGGAAAATTTGTCAGTCTTTGTATATAATCCCATGGAGAACCTTCAATGAACAGGCATGATTTGCTATCTCTACCCTGCGAAAACACCACTGCAGGTTTTTTTCTTCTTCTTGCACAGAAATGCATTTCAGCACCGCTGATCGGGAGAGAGGCCTTTGCCTGCTTTGTGACAGCCAGTGCAACATTCTTCGGTCTGCTTGCACTCTGGTTAATATAAAAGCAATTTTGGTCATTTTTTAGTGTTGCAAATAGCCACTTAAATCGTTGAGGAGCTGTTGAGAAGCAAGCCTCTCATGCTTATGCTGGGATATAGCTCATATTAGCTTGGCAATGGACTACACTTTGTTATGTGTTCAACTATCCTATATTTTCAAATACTGTACTTCTAACTAATTTTGATTTCTCTATTATTTTTTTGCACTTTCTCCGGGTTTCATTACCTATTTAAAAATCAATGAACCACAAATGCTTTCAAAGGCTGTTGGAATCTAACTTAGGTGTCCTGTGACTTTGAAATACCATTGATCCAAATATGGTCCTCAGTAACTATGTGTCGAGCTTTTACGGCAAGGTTAATTCACTTTATACCCTACTTAACACAGGAGGTTTTATGTTTTATTACACAGCTATTACTCCAGATAGGATGCAATGAATTAAATGAATCCATTGCCCACAACATACCTAGGGTGATAATTGTGCAGTGTATTTTTCACAAACTTATTAAAAAATACTTCAGATAGATAAGTGAGAAGAAATATCTGTCCCTTCCCCTATTTTTTCATCTTTAAGAAGGGAGACAAGGCACTGCAAAAGTTAGTCTAATAGTTTCTTTGTGAAGGAGAAGAACACCACTGTTCATGTTAAGTCCTGATATGAAAATAGAACTTCTACTTTATTCTTCAGTTCCAAATAACAGTGGAAGAGTAATTGCTTAAATGGTGCAGTTTCAACTTTTCTGAAAGAAAATTGCTGTTACAAAAATGCAGAGTGAATGCTGCAGTTTTTCCTTGCTACAAAGTCTTGCTAGAAATGCTTCTGGTACTATGGGCAATCTCCTCTAGAGGCTAACTCCCATCAGCTAGTATCCTTACTATAGATGAGTAATCCTCTGCTTTTACCTTATAATTAATTCCCCTCCTAGAGAAATATCAGAAATACCAGAGGACTTTCCAAGAATTCTCAAACAATGTTTCTGAAGGAAAACCCATCCTCTTTTCCCTTTTTAATCTCAGCTCAAAATGGACACCTTCCATCTGCATTGCCTATGAGAAAAATTCGTGGAAACGTCAAACAGCAGCTGCTCAACAGGACCAATGGAATAGTGCTACTACTGCAAAGTAAGTCTATTGAGGAGCACGGGTATAAAACAGGCCCCAATGCTAATACTTTTTTTTCCTCCTAGAACCAGCTCTGATACCCTTCTCCTGACTGACCTTAGCATTTCCTTTCCTTGCACACAGTGCTATGCACCTCCACTGAAAAGGACCATTATCTGATTTTATTTCTAAATATCAATGCAATGAAAGATTTATCTCCATATCATCTCCATTTTGACCCACTGGTACAAAACATAGGGGACAGAAAGGGAGAGGCAGAATGGGATAAGTATTTTATTTGTCAGAGGCATTCACAGATACCAATAAGCCTGGGATGGCTGTCCTGTTTGAATCTATTGAAGGATCAAAACACGATGGGAATGTGCTAAAGATGATTCCAAGTCATGCCACGTTATGCCAATATACAGTAAACTAACTCATGTAAGCTCAGCATTCCTTTGAACTCATCAACCCAATACTTTTTCTAACATCAGTAGGTGCAGTGAGAATTTGTCCATGGTAAAAAGACGCCATTTGGCCCACAATGAGAACTACACTAAACCCAGTAAACTGCCAGGAACCATGGAAATATTACAAAAAGAGGGGGGAGAGGAATCCATTATAAACCATCCCCAAATTTTCAATTATAAAATGGATTTGAATTATAAATGGTTTACAGATGGGTCTGATCTTTGCCATGTGAAACCACCTTCCATCCAAGAAAAACCTAGACAACCACCTGGCAGCTATTCTTTGATTTGAATTCAAGCAGGGGGTTGGACTTGATGGCCTTATAGGCCCCTTCCAACTTCACTGTTCTGTGATTCTATGAACTGGCACAAGCGTTCATTACAAACAGACTCACTACTGTTGGAGCACAAAATGAGACAATATGGCTCATAAAAGGAGCAGTCGTTTATCAATAGCTGTTTATGGTGAGTAGAAGGAATAAGAAAAAATACTTTATCTGTCTATAAGCAAACTCTAAATATCCTTCAAATAAATTTTGATTTGTTTGCTGTATAAAATTGGATCACCATAATCTTTTGACCACAAATATGGGTAGTGTCAACAGTAGGTAGACATTCTCTGGGCATACATTAAAATAAAACAAATGAGCCACAATTCCACAAATCCCATTCTTCTTAATGATAAAACAAACCAAGAGTCATCAAATTTATGTAGAACAAATCACCAGCTGTAGACATACCAGAATTAAATATTTCTCTGATAAGACTGCTTTTTATGAGGAACAAGAAATAATATGTAGGGATCAGCATGGTTCCACCTTTAAGAATGCAGCACCAGATAACACAAACAATCAAAATGATTACTAAAGCAATCTTCCACTAACTTTCATTACACAGATTTCTATTAAGAACTGGTTCATCATGCAAGGGGGAAGAATCCTCTTAGCATATGAAAACAAAACCATACAACAATACCAAAATGTTAAGAAAATGAGTGTTTCTCCCCAAATCGATTCCTGAAGAACTCTGAGATGGAGGAGCAAATGGCATGCCACTCGCATCAGTATAAAGGTGAAGATAGAACTCAAAAAATTATTTTAACACATGAGACAGAAAGTCCCATAAGCATATATCCTTGTCCTTGGAAGTAAAGATACAATTAAAAATTTCCTTTAAAGGCACCTAAGCTTCGCTGCCTGAAAGATTTATTGAACTCTGCATAATCGTACAGCAGTGATGTTCTCTTTTGGTGTATAAGTTTCCTTTACTGCTATAATTTTCCAACTCTCCTTTGCCTTGAAAAATGGAAGGATGGACCATTTACAGGTATTTGTAATAGCTGTTGCTCAACACAACCTGTGCAGTCTGCTAATATCTGCTGCTGAATAAATGCTGCAGAAGAAGGCATGTATAATTTTGAGGATTCAGCAGGGCAAAAAGTGCCATTTAGGAAGCGATTGTATTCAAGTTAATTCTCCTGTGCGTCAACAACACATCCACAAACCACTGGCTCAATATAGAAATGCATATACATAGGTATACATTTTTTTAAAAAATCAATTTTATCACTTACGGAATGCAGTATAGAGTTCTTGCAGAGTTAAATAGCCATCATTGTTGTAATCATCAAATCGGAGAAGATCTTCTGGTGTACAATCCAAGAAATCATCTTCTAGCTCTTTGCTTTTCATCAGCTATTGAGAAGAGTAAAAGCAATGAGATGATTAACACTTGCTGCTAATTATAATTTGATACACTCATCAGTGGGAAAACACACAAATGGCCCACTGGACTCTTAGAATAGGTGACGGTGTATAAGGGCTCTACCAGCAAAAGTAGTATTTGATAGTGATTACACCCTTTTCCTTATACTGTTAAAAAACCGCAAGAAGTGTATTGTATAGGATTAACAAGCTGGACGTCAGGGGTTTCATTAGCCACTTTTGTCATTGCATATATGTTATGGACAGTGTCATAGAAGCTACCAACATGATTTTGACCCAACTCCGGGAGGCAGTGGAAGACAGGAGGGACTGGCATGCTCTGGTTCATGGGGTCATGAAGAGTCGGACACGACTAAATGACTAAACAACAACAATATATGTTATGAGGGGGGCACATCGTAGAGAAACAATATATCAGATCTGGTAAGTGAGCAAATCAAAGGCATATTTTTTGTTTCCCAGATATTAAAATGTTCCTGATAAGAGACCAAGAGTCCTTTGTTTACAGTTGAAGTGTCATTTGTTTTATTTATAATTCTCAACATATTTCATTCTGCTGATGACAATTTTTTAAAACCCTACACTTTTAAAAAATGAACCTTCACCTGCTGCATAAAATGTTCAATAAAAGTGAGACCAACCATAACTTCCAGTATCAATCCTGTAAGGATGGATATTACCCTTTGTCTACTTTTATACTGAAAATTGATTAACTTTTTATAATGCTGACAAGCTTCTTTGATTTAATGCCAAGAAAGAAACCACTTTAGCAGCTATGTAGTCAGTGAATTTATGAAACTCTCTCCACAAATGTATTAAAGTTTTAAATGAAAATAACATTTCAATTACCATAGCTGTTAATAGGCTTGTATATGCACAACTTGGTACTCCATGAGTGAGAGGCAGGGTGAATTCAATGTGAGCTTTCCAGGGACTAAGACTGGATTTGGACCAAGAGCAAAAAGGACAAGAACTGATCTCCCACTTCCTTATTGGTAAAGAATGATAAGGGCATTTTCTTGTTGAAAAGAATTATTTTACATTAATTGAAGTAAATACGCAGGGAAGCCTCTCAGATCTAAAATTCAATTTTCTTTGTCTTTTTCTTCCTTTACCACTTGGACATATGAGACTGTAAAGAAATGTAAGGCATCATTCTAGCTATTTTTCCATTGCTGTCTTGGCTGGTGCAATAAAAATAATTTCAGCATACTAAACATGTTTCTTTACACTTTTCTAAATCAATATAATAAATAATCAAAAGCCAATTCAGTAGGTTGTTCTTCAGATGGAACTGGGAGTTGAGGACAATCCCCCGCCCCATTAGAGCAGTGGTCCCCAACCTTGGGCCTCCAGATGTTCTTGCACTACAACTCCTAGAAGCCTTCAGCACCACCTCTGCTGGCCAGGATTTCTGGGAGTTGAAGTCCAAGAACATCTGGGGACCACTGCATTAGAGGAACAGAACTCAAAACGAGCCAAACAGAGAAACGGGCAAACCATCTCATCTAATTCTATGTGCTAAATCCAATTGCTAGTCCTAATTAGACCACACCCATGGAATCCATGGAACTTATATCATATTGACTTAACCATTTGATGGGTCTACTCTAGTTGGAACTAACAACTGGACTTATCCATATGAGACTTAAATATGGCTCACAGGATGTTGCACCGTTGGTAGGAGTCCCTGCCTGTGCCCTGTCAAGCCAATTGTTAGAGGGACTTTTATACTAAGTTAAAGGAAGAGGCACTTAAAGGTCCTCCAAGGTGTGCTTTACATCTTTTTTTTTCTTCCTCCTCTGCAGCCTAATAGTTACTACATTCTTTTGTAAAACTGTTGTGTTTTGTGCAAAGGGACATTAATGAACTGTGGAGAAAAGTGGAAAATTGGTCAACCGTGTCTGACGGGTAACCTAGGTTTCATTAAGAGGAAACCCACAGATCGATGGAAATCCTGAAAGGTTGAAAAACATGGAGCCCTGAAATATAGGATCCCTTGTTTTTTCCCATCCTTCCACTGTCCCCCCCTCAACATAATAATGGGTGCTTTTCTGTCTCTCCTTCATACACATCCACAAACTATAGAAGAACAGGCAACTTGGAATTATTCCAGAAGTTGCCAAACTGCAACTAGAGGCTGACAGGTCTCAGGTTGCTAGCTGAAATTTCGGAGAATCATTATGCTTTTCCAGGCCTCCAGGCAGAGCGACAGGCAAGTAATATTAAAGGAAGTTCAATGCTTATGTGTGACATGACTTTAAAGCATGAACACCCATCTCCACTCATTCTTGGAAGGGACAACATGAGCTGAGTTTTGCCAGGATTCTGGACCCATTTGCCCAGATTCTCCTTGTGCCTGTTTCCACAACCAGCTGGCCCAGAAGCAGCTCCGATGCTGGCCTAGCCCACATATTGACAACACAGAGATATACCTGTGTAATATCACAAGGTTCTGTCCTCTCATGCTGAAACTCAGGAACTGGGTTGCTGCTGCCGCCCTGGCAGCAATAACTGCAACTCCCATCATCCCTCACCATTGCCTGTGCTGGCCAGTCCTGATGGAACCTTCAGTCCAGCTACATCTGGAGGGCCCTAAGTAGCTGATCTCTGCTCTAGAACTTGGACAAGAACGATAGTGCTGGTTTAGCAGTGCAGATATGATCCAGCTTCATTCCAAGGACAGGAGCCATAAGCTGCAGGAAACCAGTTCAGCTTACACTACAATGTCATTCTTGAGTGACTATTCTCTCTCTCTCTCTCTCTTTTTTTTTTTTTTTTTTTGCTGTGACAGCAGTATAGTGATTTCTATTCCACTGTATTGCTATTGTAAGGAGAAAAGTAAATTGTTGTAAATGCAAATTATTGTATGAAGAAAAACCACGGGGAGAGGTCTTTGCTAAAGTAAGGATAAAACTAGTGCACTACTCCTGATACTAAGTGATTCAGATCACTCTGAGAGAAAATGTGTACTATAACAATGCAAACTCATCCAGGATCTTAGGGATATTCAAGACCCCTTTGCAATGTATTCCCCAGGTTGTATTCACCAGGTTGAATGACAGGCATTTTGCTAGTTAAATAATGAATACTTCTTCCATTAGTCCATTCATAACATATAGCAGCTAATCCTCATATATGATTGCATCTATACTTTGCTTTGTCAGTGATTCACATACTAAGACATTTTATATCTTCTCAGCCAGGCAAATATTATCACGTCAGCGCTCCACCAATTAGGGTTCCGTCATGTGTTAAGCACATATTGTATGTAATGCAATCTGCCCTGCTCTGATCTGTCATAAGAATTCAGCCGAGGAGATGGTTTTGCTAACAACTCATTCTCAGTATCACAACATATTTCGCTATTGTGATAATTAAGATGCATGGATAATTATGCACTGACCAAGGGGTACATTTTAATACATTAACAAACAAACAGAGCAGCTGATGAAATAAGTGTATTGCTCTTGTTATGTATTATCAAGTTATTGCTGACTTATGACAATCCTATGGATCAGTGACCTCCAAGTACTGTAGTCCTAACATTAACAACCCTGTGGAAGTCTTGCAAGCTAAAGGCCATGGCTTCCCTTACTGAGGGATATGGCTAGAAAAACTTTCACTTTTCAATATTGCTCGAAGAACTTTCACTTTTTCTAGCAATATTGTCTTCTCTTCTCTTCTTGTGATGAACGTACATCCAAAGTATAGCCATTTAGTGAGAGTTCAGATTTGGTGTTCTGTAGAACTACCATAATTTATTTGTCTTTCTGGAAACCATGATATCCATAAAGCTTTTCCCCAACACCATATATTTAATTATTTTTTTCTGATATTGAATGTCAGCTGAACTCACTGTCCAGCTTTCACATCTCTATATAATAATCAGGAACACCATAAATGATCTTGGTTTGAGCAACACATCATTACTTTTCAGGATCTTAACTCATTCCCTCATTGCTGCCTTTCCAAGTCTCAGTCTTCTGATTTATTGACTGCAGTCTCCTTTAAGACTGATGACTGAAAAAAAAGGCATTGATGACTTTTTATTCAATGACTCAATTTATTCATGAACATCATTATGTAATTCCTCTGTAGTCATTTCTGTCTTCATGTTCAGCTGCAATAAAAATTTTGCACTTTCTTCTTTAACCTTCCTGAACAGACATTTCAACTTCTTGTTATTTTCCAGCAATAATATAGTGTCACCGCCACATCTTAAATTATTGAGATTTCTTTGAACTTTTAAAACTTTTCTTCTGCTGATTCTAATTGAGCTTTTCATGTGACACGTTCTATATACACATTGAATAGAAATGGAGGTAAAGTGCACTCTTCTTTGATGCCCGGGGCAGCAAGTAATTGCTCTGTTTCTCCATATTCTGTCCTAACAGTAGTGTCTCAGCTACACATCAGGACAATCATGTAGTACACTCATTTTTTTAAGAAACATCGGTAGCTTTTATTTATTTATTTATTTATTTATTTATTTATTTATTTATTTATTTATTTATTTATTTATTTATTTATTTATTTATTTATTTATTTATACATACCCTAAAAAGACTTAGCTGACTGGAGGGAAGGCTTGCCTAAATAGCCAAGTTTTTAACTTCCTTTTAAAAGCACCCAGCAAGGGTGCCAGCCGAATTTCTGTTGGGAGGGTGTTCCACCGCCGAGGGGCCACCGCCGAGAAGGCCCAGTTTCTAGTTTTTTCCTTCTGAGCCTCTCTCGGCGTCAGCCCCCTCAGTCATCTCTGCTGGCTATGACGGGTGATCCTGGTAGATCTGTGTGGGAGAAGACGATCTGCCAAATATTGAGGTCCCAAACCGTGATCTATGATCATGATCTTTTCATGATCTATGCAGTCAAAGGCTTTACAATAAACTTTGAAACAGACTCCTCTGGAATTTTTTGGCACAAACCAGTAATCAACATTCATTTACAACATGATCTCTAATGCTTCT